TCTTGCTCAGGCTGGTCTTGAACTCCTGACCTTGAGCGATCCTCCCACCTCGGCCTCCCAGAGTGCTAGGATTACAGGCGTGAGCCACCACACCCAGCCAGTTTATTATCTTTAATGAAAGAATTCCCTCTGAATTGTTGTAGGGTATGATTAAGACATAGTAGGATTATAAAACATTTAAAATGCTCATAAAGTTATGAGATTACATTTTCATCCTGGCTTTAGCATCTTTTTTCCTCCTTTTCAAGCATCTTCTTTGGTATAAACACTTTGTCTTTTCTAGAAGATCTTTTAATATTAATTTGATGAACAATATCTAAGTCTACTCACCACACCATTTTGTCACTGGAAAGGCAGAAGTGACCTCTCAAGGCAGCCAGGGCAGCATGGGTAGAATATAAATGGAAACCAATGGGAATCCCACAGGGACCACAGAATAGAAGGTTGTAAGTGCTGAGGGAAGGGAAAAACAGAATATGGGTAAGAAAGAATATCAGAGAATTTTTAAAAAACAACCAGTCTCTGGAAGCATTCTGGTCACATAAGACATAAGTGAAAATTATGCCATAATAGGAATAAGACTGGAAGAATGTCACATTTAACAAATGTTGGCCGGCTGCGGTGGCTCGCGCCTGTAATCCTAACACTGAGAGGCTAACGCGGGAAGATTGCTTGAGCTCAGAAGTTTGAGACCAGCCTCAGCAAGAGCAAGACCCCATCTCTACTAAAAATAGAAAAAATTAGCGGGCATGGTTGCTCACACCTATAGTCCCAGCTACTCGGGAGGCTGAGGCAGGAGACTTGAGCCCAGGAGTTTGACATTGCAAGTGAGCTATGATGACACCATGGCACTAGCCTAGGCAACAGAGTGAGACTCTGTCTCAAAAAAAAAAAACACAAAGATTAACTCATTTTAGTTAAATCACACCCTAGATTACAGATACCCTTCTGGATTCTAGCCACAAAAACAATCATGGATGTACAGTTGTCACTTCAACAGAGAAAGGTAATTTACCCCTGAAAAACAGCTAACTAATCTAACATTTAGACATTTAAAACTAAAAATCACCATGTAAATTGGCTACCATTATATCAATTCACAGTTCATGGAAAAATAATCAAGTTGATAGGGGCTTACTAAACCATTTATTAATAGAACTAAAATCAGGATTTTTCTTTTGCAGATATATTTTTAAAAATTTAATGGAAAAAATACCCATACTAAAAGCAAAAGAAACAAAGAAAAAGGAATCCCATTACCTTAGCAAGCCACCTTGCTATTTTCTTTTCCTTTATGTTCTCAAAGATTACTGAATGAGGAATCAGATGTTGATTTTAGCTCTTGTTATAATACTTGAGAAAGTCACTTATTATATTTGCTGGCACATATTCAAATATTAGAAAAAACATTTTAAGAAAAAATTAACTATTTCATCATGCATGTATCAAAAGCAATTTTAAAGTGGTTTAGTAAGGGAAAAATTATATAAGTACAGTATATTGTATAGAATTCTATTAATAAAAGAGAGTATAAAAATCACATGGCTGGCCGGGCGCGGTGGCTCACGCCTGTAATCCTAGCTCTCTGGGAGGCCGAGGCGGGCGGATTGTTTGAGCTCAGGAGTTCAAA